AATATACTGTAAACCAATCATTATTCGCGTCATCTTTTATTTGCGAGTCGTCACTTTGTATCAGTCCGCAACATATACACTGAAAGGAAAAAGAAACGCATAAGAACAAATTATGCGTAAATTTCTTGACTATGTGGCAGAAAATTATAAAAATTGGTCAGATGTATATTTTGGTTACTTTGCACATAAATTGCTTGTCAAAACTACTCAACCATGACATGTATGGCGTCACGTATGGAAAGTGATAAAAAAAAAAACCATAAGCACGTGCATATTGATGATGCCAATTTTTGACCACATTTTGTAGTGTCAAAGGATGGATTAGAGTTACAGACATTGTTTTTCAATATTTGCAGTCAGTATAAATTTTTTGCAATCATGGTATTGCTGACGGAAGTTACACTGGGTCTAGTAATTGAATTGCATAAGTGAATAAAAAGTGCATATTGTTTTCAACTTTTCAATCAGAAAGAGTCTGTTCGGTTGTCAAAAAGTTACTTAAAAGGTTCCTAACCAGCCATGACGGTGACATTGGCGTGTAACAACGTCACATCATGATAAAGCTTTTCATTTTCCTCTCGGTTATAGTCAAGGCATTATCACTGAAACCAGTATTTACACAGCAGACAATCATACTCATTTTTTCTACCCTAAAATTGACAGAAAGTCTCTGCTCGAATTTGATCCGCGGGCATAGCAACTTTACGTCGATTTTACTCGCACGTGTGCACGTACGCTTCGTTTGCGTAATGTTTTTAGCATGTTAACACTGGGGAAAGGTAGGTAGTGTTTGTCGATACTCTCTTACAAACATTCATGTGTACCAAACTAACTGGATTTTGTACATTCTACCCTAAATCGAAAGGTCGTGGGATTCATTTTGCGGGGTGGCGGGGGGGGGGGCTTGTTGGCTTTGGAATAATACAGGTAAACTCAATGCACAGGAAATCAAGTCTGTTACTTATGCGCAAGGGAGATTCAGAGAATTTTTATTTCTTTTTTGGGGGAAAGATAATGGTAATTAACGTGTTGAATAAAGATGAGTTTAAATATATGATAACAATACTGGAAAACATATTCAAAATTTATAGTTTTTATTTAATTCAAAAGTTTATAGTGCGTTTCTTTTTCCTTTCAGTATAATTTTTGCGACTGAGGAAACATTCTTAACAAATGGAATTACAAATCCAGCATGAATTCGAATAGATTAATAGTCGCGCAACTTATAAAATTAATTAACTAATTGTATTGAATTCGTTGGTGAATTAAAGAAATTACATTGGTCTTTTCAACGGAAAAATTAAACATGTAAAGAGCCTTTTATGAAGATACAATTTTAGAGAAAAGTTACGAAAGGCAGGTCAACATTTAAACAAAATTGTAAACTTTGCTCTCATTCAAAAGAATTTGATTGTAAATAGTTTAAAGCAACTCGATTTCTAAGGAGAAAGTGACACATGTACAGTTTGTTCATCTACAAATCCTTTTTTTTTTAGGTCACCTGAGTAAACTCAGGTGACCTATTGCCATCTGTTTTCGTCCGTCGTCGTGCGTCGTGCGTCGTGCGTCGTGCGTTGTGCGTTAACATTTGAACATTTTCAGCTTCTTCTCTGCAACCACTGAACCAATTTCAACCAAATTTGGCACAAAGCATCTATGGGTGAAGGGGAACAAAAATTGTGAATTTCATGATCCCTGCCCCCCTTGGGCCTGAGGGGTGGGGCCAAAACCACTAAAATTAGTGCAATCTTTGAAAATCTTCTTCTTTACTCCTGGACATCAAGCAGTCAAACTGTTTGCATGATTGTAATCAGCATTGAGTCCTTTACCAAAATTGTGAAATTCATGGCCCTGGGGTCAAGGGTTCTAGTGCTAGGGCGGGGCTAAATAAGTATATAGTGAAAATGCATTATTTCATTGAAAATCTTCTTCTCTGCTCCTGGGTATTAAATAAACCAACTAAGTGCATAGTTATAATGAGCAAGAGTGTCACTACCAAAATTGTGAATTTTATGGCCCCAGGGTCAGGGATTCTGGTGTTAGGGTGGGGCTCTATAGATTATATAGTGAAAATACATGCATTCTTTGAAAATCTTCTTCCCTGCTCCTAGGTATTAAATAAACTAACTAAGTGCAAAGTTATGATGAGCAAGAGTGCCTCTACCAAAATTGTGAATTTTATGGCCCCAGGGTCAGGGGTTCTGGTGTTAGGGCGGGGCTCTATTGGTTATATAGTGAAAATACATAAATTCTTTAAAAATCTTCTTCTGTGCTCCTAGGTATTAAATGAATAAACTAAGTGCATAGTTATGATGAGCAAGAGTGCCTCTATCAAAATTGTGAATTTTATGGCCCCAGGGTCAGGGGTTCTGGTGTAAGGGTGGGGCTCTATAGATTATATAGTGAAAATACATAAATTCTTTGAAAATCTTCTTCTCTGCTCCTGGGTATTAAATAAACTAAATAAGTGCATAGTTATGATGAGCAACAGTGCTTCTACCAAAATTGTGAATTTTATGGCCCCAGGGTCAGGGGTTCTGGTGTTGGGGGGGGGGCACTATAGATTATATAGTGAAAATACATGAATTCTTTGAAAATCTTCTTCTCTGCTCCTGGGTATTAAATAAACTAAATAAGTGCATAGTTATGATGAGCAACAGTGCCTCTACCAAAATTGTGAATTCTATGGCCCCAGGGTCAGGGGTTCTGGTGTAGGGGGGGGGGGGGCTCTATAGATTATATAGTGAAAATACATGAATTCTTTGAAAATCTTCTTCTCTGCTCCTGGGTATTAAATAAACTAACTAAGTGCATAGTTATGATGAGCAAGAGTGCCTCTACTAAAATTGTGAATTTTATGGCCCGAGGATCAGGGGTTCTGGTGTAAGGGGGGGGGGGACTCTATAGATTATATAGTAAAAATACATAAATTCTTTGAAAATCTTCTTCTCTGCTCCTGGGTATTGAATTAACTAAGTGCATTGTTATGATGAGCAAGAGTGCTTCTACCAAAATTGTGAATTTTATGGCCCCAGGATCAGGGGTTCTGGTGTAAGGTGGGGGGGGGGGGCTCTATAGATTATATAGTAAAAATACATAAATTCTTTGAAAATCTTCTTCTCTGCTCCTGGGTATTGAATAAACTAACTAAGTGCATTGTTATGATGAGCAAGAGTGCTTCTACCAAAATTGTGAATTTTATGGCCCCAGGGTCAGGGGTTCTGGTGTTAGGGTGGGGCTCTATAGATTATATAGTGAAAATACACGAATTCTTTGAAAATCTTCTTCTCTGCTCCTGGATATTAAATAAACTAAATAACTGCATAGTTATGATGAGCAAGAGTGCCTCTACCAAAATTGTGAATTTTATGGCCCCAGGGTCAGGGGTTCTGGTGCAAGGGGGGGGGGCTCTATATATTATACAGTGAAAATACACTAAACTTTGAAAGTTTTCTTCTCTGCTCCTTGGTATTAAGCAGATGAACTACCTATGTAGTTATGATGAGCAAGGGTCCTAATCTTCCAGAATTGTGAATTTCAAGGCCCCAGGGTCAGGGGTACCATAAAGGAGGGGGGACTGTACTTATATACTGAAACTGGATGAATTGTTTGAAATCTGCTCCTTGGTATTTATCAAATATTTTTGAAAAGCAAGGGTGCCTTTTCAAAAATTGTGCAATGTGTGGATCTAGGCTTAAGGGTCAGGGGTTCATGTGTGATTGGGGCATTACTGATCATGCTGAATATTACTGATTACTTGAAATGCATTTTTTGTTCCCCTACCCTGCCTATGGGTATTAAGTAAACAAACTAAGCAACTGCTAAGTGTATTGTTATGATGATCAATGGTGCCTATTTCAAAATTGTGAATGCCATAGCATCTGGATTAAAACATGAATCAAATTCAATCACTGGAAAGTTGTTGCATAAATGCTCAGGTGACCTATAAGGCCCATGGGCCTCTTGTTTAAATTCTAATATACAAAGTTTCAAACTAGATATTGGGAAATAGAAAAAAAGTCTTTTATATTTAGATTAATGTCTTAAATTTTCCACATTTAAATATATCAAAGATTCAAATAATTATACATGCTTCACAATTAACAATCATTGATCATTTTGAATAGCAATAATGTACAAAATCAAGCAATATTTTTTAATATATATATTTAACATACAAAATATGTAAAGTAGGAATATAATTACATGTATTGCATTCACATTTTACGAAACAAAAGTATCAATATCTTCATCATATAAAGAGACATCAGACAATTCAGTTGGAGCAATACTACTCTATACAGAAGCTATTTAATGATTCTAAGTAGATTTTTTTTACTTTGCTGAAGGACCTTTAAACAATCTACATCCATTTAATGAAAGAGAAACCAACTTAAGTGTACATCATGCAAATTACTCTTCGTAAAATTCTAGTTTTGATCAGATTTGGAGATTTAGGCTGATGATACGAACAAAAAGATATATGTATGGATATTTTAGATCTATAGATTTCGTAAATGATTGAAATGATACGTTTGTAAGTTTTTAGTCTTTCTTTGAATGTTAATTCATTGATTAATTAATTTATTTATCTTTTAAAAAAGAGGGGCGGGTTCAATTTTTTTTCTTAATTCAGCGAAATATTTTTCTTTATTCAAGAATTTCATTTCTGACTTTTTAACCGGTCTTTTAATTCTTATTTACATGTATTTATTTTGTAGAAAAGAGGGGCGGGTTACATTTTTTTCTCTTATTCAGAGAAAGATTTTTCGTTTATCAAGAATTTCACTCAAAACCTTTAAATTGAATTGAAAGCTAACAAAAACTGCAAAGTTAACATTCTGAGCATACTACAACGTTATTTTAATTGCGTATATAGTATGTTCTGTTTTCCTTTTTAATAATGTTTCTAAATTGAAGACATTGAAAAGGTAACATATTATTTAAGAAGACGATTTATTTTATTAAAATTAAAAGGTATATTAATTCCATTTTTCCTACTGAAATGGATATATTTTAATTTCAAGCGCCAATACCTTTTAAAATTTATAGGTGTTTCCAAAATCCAAAGAAGAGCCTTTTCATCATTCATCATGGTGCAGATTAATAAAAAGTAAGTTTGGATAGAACTGTGTTAACTATTTCAACACATTGTCTCGCTTATTAGGAAATCATTTTAATAAGTTTATATCCCTGTTCGTGGGCAAAGTGTTTTGACTTGTTTGTGAAGAATTTATTTTGTGATTTACTCTTTTCCACGATAGATTAAATTAATCAGTATATGTTTTTAAAAAAAACGAAAGGTCGTTGTGATGAACATATCTAGACAATGGTGATCCATAATATCCGACTAAAATTACAAACGTTGATATCATAAAAAGACAACATGTGCGTTTTAAAAATAGGTGATATACAGTAAAATTACATATTTTCGTGGGGTCAAATTTTCGTGGTTTGAGGAAAAACTTTTGGTTTGTGAGGATTTGATTTCGTGGATGTAGAATTGTTGAATATCCATGTATGTCACATTTTTCGTTTTGTGGTGGACATAAATTCGTGGGTGTCCTCTCACTTCGAAAACATCGAAAATTAGACCCCACGAAAATTTGTGATTTCACAGTAGATGAAAAAAAAATAAAGAGAATGAAAAGTGATCAATATAAAATGAATCGCAAATGTGAATAGGGAATTAGGCGTGTAAAAGTTCCATGGCGTAGATCGCGTGAGAAGAAGCAAAATTTATCCCCTGTTGACTGATCAATCTTTTAATACACATTTCATATAAAATAGTTAGGAAACATTTTGTAATTAAAACTTAAAAAAAAAAACAAAAGTCTTACAGCTGGTATGATTCATGTTAAAAAACGTCATGTAAATAAATATTTTTTTTCTCTTTGTTCATGAAAGATAGATATGCCAATCAATATCAAAGCTCCAGGTTCCAAGTCCCAAAAATTTTATATCCAAAGAAGAGTCTGGATCCGACCAGGATAGAATTTCATTCTCATATAATATGTGGCCACGCCCAAATCGTATGACATCATTATCCCAAGTGACCCAGAAAGGCAGGAATTTATCACAATCGACAACTCCACTTCCACCACGTTTATGGTCCCCGCTTTTCCTGACGTATGTCCACGTGTTGTTCGATCCACCAATCACAATTTCATAAGTCGCCATTCGTTTCATTGCACTCATTTCAGTTTTGGATAAACCAAAATGAGCATCCTTGCATCCTTTGATATCCATTATTAGATTAGAACGGTCTGATCCGGTGACGCCATAATTCGTAAGGCTGTAATATGGGTTTAATTTATTTGCTGGCGTATAGATATTAAAAACGTTGCTCAAATTGAATTGTGGCGCTGAATTACCTACAACAAAGGGTTTGTTTTTATAATTACTAGGCAGGTTTTTTTAACATATAAATTGCTGTGGAAAAATTTGAATTCAAACATATGTTTATATTTCCATTTTTCTCCAAGACATCCAAATATTTGGAAAGAAAATTTTGTCATCTAAATAAATATATAATTTTCCTCCTTTATCGTTTGCATTTTATTTCATATTATATTATTTTAATTATCTGTAATTTCTTCTTTTTTTTTTAAATTTTCTTAAGCTTTTCTTAAAAAAAAACTTGTACAGTGTATTTTGCATGATGCATTTAATTCTCAAATAAAGACATGGTTGTCCTTTTAGGGGATGAAAAAACCCACTGATCTCGAAAATGTAAAATATATACTCATGTAAAATACTAAAGGAATTATGACTTATATTACCTTACCAATATAATAAGCATCCCATCCACTGCAGCAATATTTACCATTGATCTGGCATAGATGCTGTTTATCATTGTATAAAAATAGACGACAACTGTCATTTTTCTGGCATTGTCTTGCACATTGTACAGAGGACAGTGTTATCACTGTTTCTCCAAGCGGGGTGGAACAAATTCCTTCACAGATAAACCGGGAAAACCGAAAACAAGAAACAGTACCCACTGCATATAAAAGAAAAATTGTAATAACTTCCATTTTTTATTCCATCTCTTTTGAAAATTTTGGTTAGGATTTTTCAGACTGAACAATGATGTTAATGTTCCATTCAAACAGTGCGAATTCTTCTACAAGACAGGCAATTATATGTGAAGAAAATGTTTTGATGGTTTCAGTTCTGAATTATTGACAATGGTGTTTTAGGGATGAAAGTTAATGTGGTCCTAACATCAATTTCATAGGCTATTCAAAACATAATAAAATCTTCTCAAATTTAGAGAAAAAATCCATAGTCGGATGTTAACTGAATTGGAAAGGCAAAAATCAATGAGATAACTTTTAAACAAATTACGGTTAATATTTTTACATGTCCCTATCAGATTTATTTCTATCATGACTTTTTCCCGATTTTTATGCCTAAATTGGACTATTGATTGATGTTTTCCCTATATTCTCTTGTTTTCTCACGATGTGCGAAAGCTGATATTTTATATCGGTAACATTTATCCGATTTTTCTATTCAGCTGTCATGTATACAATCTAAGAGATAAATATAAAAATGCCAATGTTAAGTTTAACCAAACAACGTTCTGTAAGAACAAAGATTACTTTTTCGTCCATTACAAAGGAAGAACATAATGGCTACTAAGAGCAGATCCAATTTTTTTTTTTTTTTTTTTTTTTATTTTTTTTTTTTTTAAGCTTTAGATTTTCAATTCACTTTCTAGAATCTCTTGCATACATGCTACATGTTGCGTTCACTGTTACGTTCAATATATTTCAGAATTGAAGATTTTATTACAGTGGTGACATACCCTCGCATATGATGTGTTCTGACTATAAAAGAATGGTTTAACTGGTTAAGAATGTCTTCTCTAATTTCGTTTTCTTTGACGTATGTAGAGTAATTTAAAAAAAATTATCAATCATTCATAATGATTTAGTCTTTGAAGTCATTAAAAAAAATCTTGTATGAATATGACGTTTGGGTGTTTAATTTGTCACTATGAATTATGAATGTGGGTAAACAAATATTTGAGATTGCAAGGGTAATTATCATAAGAAGGTTTAAATGGCACACTTTATTTCATATTTTTGAATTATACTGATTTTCAGCCAAAAATTTAATTGTCGTATATTAATTTTAAAGTTCAATGAAACTATGGAAAAATTTTATTAATTCAAATGCACTTTTGGATATAAAAACAATATAATAATTTGATAATTATGCTTATTTCCATAAGAATTATAACCTAATTTAACAAATTTGAATAAAAGAAAAATAAAAAAAATCAAATTTAACCAAAAAAAATAACATCAATTCATATACATGTAATGTATGACAGTGTCTGAATTAGTTTTTATTGCCACAAGTAAAACTCAATTCATTAACCTCATTTCTCGATTTAGCAATAAAATAAAATATTACGTAAATATTTGCCTCAAACTTCCAAAAAATTACAGTACGTAAAAATACATGGAAATAAATATAATCACAATCACTAGGTACTGAGTAATTATTGTTATAATAATGTCAAAGACATGAACGAAAATTAGTTGGGAAATTTTAACTGTATTCATGAAATAATGCATTGTTGTCCGTGTCATTAACGCCGCCAAATTATGAAGCCTGCTTTTTAAAGAACACGTTCAGTATCATCATTATTTTGTATGATGAATAAAGAAATAACAAACATATATCAGTTTCAAATCAACTGAGACAATCTAAATCGGGAGCTAGGCAAATACAAACCTCTTAATACATTAGCCATGTGTGGCCTTGTACCACTACAAACCGGTCAAAAGCACCGTGTAGCCCTGGCATATTAGAGAAAACAGGAAAATCTGTAGTGTTACAGTAATTAATAACCAAACATTTAGCAAGAAAAATGTAATTAAGCATATTTGACTTTTCGATGGATAGTATTTGTGGAAAAGCCATGATTGTATTCAACATTGAGTTTCCAAAAATGATGATCTCTAAACGAGTTTCACGTCAACTAGTTCTAGTCAACTAGTCAATACCTTGTTACTTTTAAGAAAATAAATAATTGTCATCCTACAAACCTAATGCATGACACTTTGTAAGATTTAAAAAAAAAAGAAGATATTTTGAGATGAATAAAATTCGATCAACAGATTATTTCATTAAGATATTCATAAAATCGTTTGAATAAAAAATCAAATAAGTATTTTCATGTGCATCCAATTTTCCATTTTCAAAGGAGGACATTTTTGTTTTAATCCAACCTACGGTCTTATTTTGTATCGAGGTAATTTTTGAGAAAGTCTTTAATAAGTCATTTTGTAATATTCACATATATAAATGAAAATAAACATATGTTCGATAATCTAAACTAATAATCTTTGATGAACTGAAACTTCAAATCAATTCACAGTTGAAAAAATATTAGAAGCTTAATGTCTGAATGAGAACTTAAATTTCAATTGGATAAGAGCAAGACTGGTTATTTTATTTTTTATTTTTCGTTTGAATAAAATTCATTGAATTATCATTTTTTACTCTCCTTTTATAAAAGATAGAACATGGATTTGAGACCAAAATGAGCCTTTTTACAATAATATTAAGCAAGTTTGCATTTTAAAAGGAAAGAAAGAAATAGCAATGATTGTGTTTCATTTTTCCACGATTGTTGGCTGCCAATGAACAAAGAAAAAAGAACTGTTATTGCTCCGTCAAAACCTCATAGATTTACGTCTAAATGCACTTTGATTTTTCTATTGAAATTAATTGAATAGAAGCTGTAATCAGTATTATCAGGACAAATAGGGGGGTTTAAAGAAGTGCAATAATTTTTAATACAGATCTTGATAGCTTGAATAATTTTTTTAAAAATACATATAAATACTCTGTTTACACAGCAGGCTTCACGGACCAGTTTGACGTTCAAAATGGTGACGTTTCCTAACGCTGCGATGTTAGATTTTCTCTATTTAATCCTACTTTTATTACGTCTTCTCAGTTTACTCCGTTGACATAATTATTGTTTCTGTTTTTGATTGCTTCTGTTTTTGTTCGTCTTAATGAGTCGTGCTACATGCATGTGCTTTAACATTTAAACATTTTCAGGTTCTTTTTTGAAACAGCTCAACCAATTTCAACTAATTTTGCATAAGGCATCTGTGGGTAAATGTGATCAACAATTGTGAAATGCATGGTTCCTCCCATATGCATCTTTGAAATTCTTTTTCAATGTTTACTAGACACCAAACAGTCAAACTATTTGCGTGATTGTAACAAGCATTAAACCCTCTATTAAAATTGTGAAATTAATGGACCGGTGTTTGGGCCTATTAGTTAGGGTTGGGCTCTAAGGATCATATACGAGATAATGAAAATGCATGAAATGCACAAATGCAAAAAAAAAAAAAAAATTCAAAATTCTTCTCTCCTCATTTACAAAGCAAATGATCTAGACGAGTGGCGTATGATTAAATTGATCAAGGATGTCCCATTTAAAATTATGAAGCATGTGTTTCATGTGCGGTTTCTCTGGGATTGGGGCCCGACCGCCCGAGATGGTCTGTTTCTCAGGCGGGCGGGTACAAAACTTCAGATGACAGCCCGGTGGTCGGGCTAATTTCAATAGTTAAATACTATTTTTAAACCCAGAATTTCTATTTTCTAATTTTACTTCGTTTACCTCATTAACAAAAATCTGCAGACTATCGGTATCGTTGTGAATTAGGTAAGATGTAAATTGTTATCTATTCGCTCATTGGTCTGTATGAATGTTACAGCCAACCAGCGTGCGCAATACAATTCATGTTCGGCAATAATGATTGCAAGATGATGCGTAGGTTTTTGGGGCTCTCGACGCCAGAAAAGCGTCCCTTGCTTGACGCAAAGGAAAAAAATAAGGCATACGACCAAAACAAAAGACGTAGAACGATAGTTCGTGGTTGGAAGGAAGAATTCAAGTGGTTAATCAGTGATGAAACCCACGGAAAGCTCTTTTGTCAAAAATGTCGGGGGGTGTATGGACCATTGGCAGTTAAGAAGAGCGCATCCGACAGAATAAAGCGATATGCAAATGGACCGTTTGTGGTAGGTTCAATAAACCTTAGACATGACGCAATTACAACACATGAAAAGTCGGAAGGTCACAAGTATGCTGTAGAATTTACAAATTCTAGAAACAAGCCATTAGGCGAAAGTTCTGCAGAAAAAATACTTCATTCATTAAACAATGCTACTGTTTTAAAACTAGAGAAACTGTTTCGAAATGCACATGCCATAGCCAAAACGTCGAGACCTATTACAGATTACGTGTGGTTATGTGAACTTGATGAGAAGAAAGGTGTTGATTTAGGTAGTACTTATAAGAACCACAAAAGTTGTAAAGAGTTCATGGTTTCCATAGCTGAGGTTGAAAGAGAGAAGATAGAAGAAAAACTAGCACGTTAACTTTTGCACAATCATGTCTGATGGGTCGACAGATATTTCAGTGTCTGAAAATGAGATAGTCTACATTCATTTTGCTCACAGAGGTGTTCCATATTGTTTTTTTTCTTGGGTTGATTGAATGTGAGTCAGCAAATTCAGAAGGAATTTACAATGCAATTAAAAAGGCACTGCATTTTAAAAACATTTCTGCAGAAGATAGTCTTGAGAAAACTATTGCGTTTGCTGGAGATGGTGCATCAGTGAACACGGGGCATCTCAATGGTGTGATAGCACATTTCCGCAGGAATGTTAGTCAGTCTATCATCATGGTCCAGTGCATGTCTCACAGGGTTGAGCTGGCTTATAAAGGTGCTTTGAAGGTGAGGGAATTAATTTATTAAAACTAATTTCTAATCAGTAATTTTCTTATTATTTAAAAAAAAAAATTATTTTGTCATAGCTTACAATTTTCACATGTATAATTATAGGTAGCACCAGCATTTACTAAGGTGCATGGCTTTGCTAGATGAACTTTTCAAATTTTACCACAAAAGTGCCAACCAAACCAAAAATTTAAAGAATACTTTCGTTGCCCTTGGCATGTCCCAAAGTCTTCCTACGAGGATAGGCGGAACAAGGTGGCTGGG